ACAATATTTTTTTAATTTTTTTTTATGAAACGAAACCAAGAGTAAATAAGGACCCAGGCAGAAAGATAGGCTGTGAATCCAATGTCATATTTCATTCCAAAAAAGGAATTAAAGAGGAAGAAGAAATAATAATATAATGTGTAATAATATTAAACAAGGGTTAAATCCGATCTCGTTTAAAGTTTGCTTCTGCTCTTCACAGCGTTAACACAGCCCCTGGTTAGATGGGTGTGGCAGCGCACAGCATATCCAGCAGTACGCATGGAGCAGCCGTGTTATTTAAAGTTTAAAAAGATGCTTTAAGCTCCTTCAAATCTAATCAGAGTGAAGGAGGGTCAGTGGTGCCGATTCAGCAGGAGTCAGAGCCGATTAGAGAGTGAGATCGTTGTGGATTAATGACAGGATGCCAGAACCCATCTGTCTCGAATGGAGCGCAGCACACATGCAAAAAGCACACCAGAAGAAGACATGGGAGGCGGGAGGGAGCTGATCATTTCGGAGTGGTTCACCGAAGCCCAAATTTCTAACAGAATTTCAGATCATTTTTAAAGTTGTGATAAACTTTAAGCATTCAGAAGTGGCTCATTAATAAGAATAAAATATGATTTAGGGATACATTTTTTAAAAAATTAATCAATAAATACAGACAATCTCTCTGAATCTTGTCCTCCCACTTAAATACCTGTTTTATGTTTTGAGTTTGAAGCATAACTTGTTCCAGTTCAGCATAGTTTATTTATATTGCGCCAATTAATTACAATAATAATTTGAATCCAGTTTGAATGAGGAAGAAACAAAAAAAAGATAAAATTTAAATACAGTCACATAGAGAGAAAAGTTCAGTTTTACGTCAGAGTTAGACCTAATTTATAGTCAGTTCAAGACGCTGCTTGTGTTTTCCAGATGACACATTATGTTCATGTTGTAAGAGTGACATATATCATAGTCGTCTGATTATTATCTTTTTGCTTGCGTGTAATTGAAAATGGTAGATATAACTTTAAAATCTAAATTATGACATCAAGCATTTTAGAATCTGCTTGTCAAACTTCGATATTAAAAATAAAATTGCATCAAATTGAAAAAAATAGAACATGCACAAAAAAAAAAAAAAAAAAAAAAAAAAAAACTTGACTTTTTTCTTCACTTACAATGGTGTCACACCAAAACTCTGACACTTCACCGATCCTCATGGAAGACAGCAGGGTCTCCCAAATGTCGAGCTTAAACATGTTGCCAATCACTATCTCCATGGGCGTTCCCACCTTCTTGCTGTCGTCCAACACCGTGCGCTCATCGTCACACAGCTGAGTGCGGAAGTGGAACGTCACCTAGAACCACAGGAAGCAGCGGCAAATTCAGGGGAAATGATCATTAGTCAAACTTGCAGGGATCATGAAGGAAAATGCAAAAACCTTAAAAAACAACAACAACAAAAAAAAAAACTGGATCGCTTTAAAATATGAGCAGTCACCGCTCAATGCCTGACATTATGTCACTGACTCGTCTCGGGTGCCGAGTAAAGAAAAAAGGGTCAAAAACTGTTTTTATGCTCAACTTATTGACGCGTTTGTTGCTTTTTTTTTATCTGCTGCACCAACAGTCACCAGCCTTATAAGCCATGGAAATATTTATGTAATTTACATCAGACATAAGGAGTCAGAAAAAGAAAATATTAAGAAAATCGTAAAACAACACACTTATGTAACATAAAAGAAGAAGAAAAAAAAGAAAATTGTGTTACGTTAGCAAGTCTAAAACAAGCTTTTTGTTGTAAAAAAAATAGTCCAACAAACAGGTTTATTGCTATAACTTAAGATTTTCGGTAACACTTTATTTGAAGGGGGTGAATAAGACTGTCATGACACTGTCATAAACATGACATAACACCTGTCATGAACATGAATAAGCCTTCATGAATATTTATGGCTGTTGTCATAAAGCGTCATTCGGTAAATTATGACACTTTTAATACAAAGTTGACATTATTCAAAATGTCTTTGTTATGACAACTTGACATTAACCAAGAAATCATTACTGATATAAATTTGTTATAAAAGTATTACTGATTGCACTTTAAAAATTAGGTATCTTTATGTTATTGAAGGTAAAGTTTAAACAGTAATGATTTATTGGTTAATGTCAAGTTGTCATAAAGACATTTTGAATAATGTCAACTTTGTATTAAAAGTGTCATAATTTACCGAATGACACTTTATGACAACACTCATAAATATTCATGAAGACTTATTGATGTTCATGACAGGTGTTATGTCATGTTTATGACAGTGTCATGTCAGTCTTATTCAACCCCCTTCAAATAAAGTGTTAACAGATTTTCTGTTGTTTTATCAAATGTTAATGTAGAAAAGTAGATTTAATTTTGATTTAGTAACGTTATTCTGTCCTGAATTGCCCTGAATATCATTTCATTTAAAAACTGCTCAGCAAATTGAGATATTACCCCTGATAATGTTAACTTACTAAACATTTTAGAGTTAACTTGTTACATTTGGTTCTCTAAGTATAGTTTTAAGGTTACAATTAGCTTACTTTGGTTTCAGCATGTTTACAATCAGGTGAAGATAAATTTGCTATCCTACCTCCTAACGGATCAAAAATGTGATTTTACATTTCACTTAATGGCCTAAGTCATTTTCTGCCAAAAGTGCTTTTTTTGTTTTGTTTTATTGCCTAAATCATCTTTTGTGAAAAAGAAATTGTGGTCTCTTTTCCTCCCTTCCCCCCCAAGCCCCCAAAAATGATGTAAGCCATTATTTAAAAAGGTAACAATATAATCTCTTTTCACTGTCTGTGATTAAGATTGAATCACAAAAAAAAACAACAACAAAAAAACAAAATACAATACAGTTGCATCAGATTTTTCAGAAAGTGTCAATAAAGTTCTCAAGACAAACACTACCTTTGTTCCAGTAATAAATCTGGGAAGGTCTCCCGTTCCTCCGTGCAAAATAGTCTTCTTAATTCCCTCTGATCCAGTCAGCATTGTATCTCGCATATCTGACATGTTTTTTGTTTTTTTTTAAGCTCCCTGATTTAAGCACGTTAAATTACTGAGCACATATGTTGTATGTATTATTTAAAACCTGCAAATGCACTTCTATGTCTTGGAGGTATTGCCTCTAATGGATTAGTTTAGACAAAGATAATAGGATTAGAAACTTCTCCTCATCAATTGTTCCAACAGGCCTCTGTTTACTTACTGCTTCAGATCAGCTTCTCTGAATGTTAAGGAAAAATCCAGAAAGCCAAACGACACTGAGACACAGTTTGTCCTAATTTCTTCCACTTCACAGTTAGAACTAAAAAAACCCCCCAAACTACTACTAAATAGGATTATTTTACTTTAACAGACATATAAATGCTTTTGATTTCATCTCTGACAAAGCAAATTATTTATTTACTCTTTAAGCAACAACACTTGGCCGTTTTATTCATAGCCATTTGCCCATCTCTGACACCACACTGAGGAAAGTCTGCCCCACTTCTCACCACACTGAGATGTTTCTATTGCTACTTTTCTAACAATTTTTAAAAAACGACTCAAGAAAATGTAAAGAAGTATACACTAAAAAAAAAAAAAACTGTTCAATTAAACTGCTGCGTTAATTTGGTTCCGTTAAACTCATATATTTCTTGTAATCACACAATGAAAAAAAAAAACAACAAAACTCGCAAATTCTGGACATTTGAAAGAATAGTGAAAAGAGAGAGCAGAAATAAGTACGCCATTGCAAAACAACAAATTCAGAAAGAGGAAAGAAATATTTCCAAATATGTGCGTGTATGTTTAAATATATACATGTGTGCATGCGCGTGTGTTTGCGTGTGTGTGCATGTGTTAGGAGTTCAAATCTGTTCCAGTGTACCAGCACGGCAGCATGTGTGTGAGTTCAAGAGAGAAAGCAGGGCAAGACAAATAGGTCTGTGAGAGTCGGACATGGTTTCCATTCCAGAGGAAATTTCCTGGATTTAAGTGGATGTGGTATAACAATGCAGGGAATACTGAAAGATGGCGGAGGAGACAATTACTGCATGGACTCTGTGACCTTTTCTATCAAACATCTGTCTTCCATCTGGTTAATGTATGTGTGTGTGTGTGTGTGTGTGTCTTGTACTGCACAGCTTCAGCAGAGTTTGTTGACAAATTTGCAAACAGTTTTTTATTTATTTATTTTGGAGTTATTAACAAAAATTACTCATTGTTACTAACTTATTCTTTATTATTTGTACCAAAAGATAAACCTATAATAGCACCATATCTGCACCCCAAATTGTGTATCTTTCAATACTGTACGTTCCATCTGTGCAAGAATATGGAAGAATCAACATTTCACCACGGATTATGAAGTGAGCCTGCTGTTTTACAATTTATCAAATAGGACCTCTTAATCCCTAAAATATGCTACAACATAACAAAGTTTTGCCTTCCTCTATATTCCACTCATCTAATAAACAGGAGCAGACAACAGTTTGCCAGGCGTTTCTTTGAACCTCTCAATAGCAGAAGCAGATTTAGCACCCTCTCGTGGCCGTGACTGGTAATGTGAAAGGCCCTTCGTAATCGTATTGATTTAAAAACGCTTGCAGATGATCCTTTGGGATGTCTGAGGTTGAGGTGGCTCTTCTTCAAATATACATGAGTTGATAAAGCTGAATATTTCACCTGTCACATTAAAAATCCCTAACGAGATCTGTAACATTATAATTGAAAACATGTGATCTTTCTTTTTGAGTATTTTGACATCTAAATCTTTGCTTGTTGAGACTGTAAAAATAATTGCAACAGCAGCATGCAGCAGGGTCCTGTTCTCAGATGACATGTTTGAGTTGCTATAGTTACAGCTTTTTGCATCATCATATCTCCGAAGAACAATGAAAAATAGCTTATCAGCCTGCATGCCTGGACCTCTACCTTTATAAACCTGAGAGAGAGATTTGAAAATGATGACTGTCCCTGAGACCGGTGGTTTTAAGTGACCCCAACCAATACCTGAGTGGAGTGGCAATCTGTCCGACCTGTTGGAAAGGTCACACTTGTGACACTGATGTACGTAACTGGTTTGTCCCTGAATGACTCACATTTCTTGCGTCACACCGCCTACATGTTTCCTTATTGCTTTACTGCCTATGCAAGTCTAGGTGTGTGTGTGTGTGTGTGTGCGTGTGTGTGTGTGTGTGCATAGCTCATTACTGTGTGCATTTACAATGTGCCGTGGGAAATTAAATGGTCCAATTGGCCACACCTCATCCTCACACACAAAGAGACACACTAATTTCTGAGAGTGGGTTCAGCTTAAACTAATGTTGCTTACCTGAATGTGCAATCTGGTGACCATCAATATATATATATTTATAAAATATATATATTTATATATATTATATATATATATATATAT